AAACAGCCTATCTGCGCAAGCGCAGACAGTCAAGAACCGGAACCAGACTGGATCCCCTCTTTCGCCAAACAAGTCGTAAGATAAACATTAAACCTCGAACCCTCGTCACGTACTCTTGTCACCTCCTCGCCGAAGAACGTCTATGTAAAGAGGGAAAGGTTCCTTAGACGTAATGTAAACCAGTTGCTATTACGCCGCTGGAAATCGGAGGGAAGAATCGCGAAGGGATTTAGCGATGGAACGCGACGGAAGAGAATTTCCCCCACCGCGACGTATACAGGAAATTGAGGAACGCGTGTTAAGAAGAAACGCTCTTCGACAAAACGTTTCTTTTTTGATTTTTAGCGATAATTTAAACTCGGATTTCCTTTTTTTTTTTTTTTTTTTTTCAAAATTACTAATCTATTAATTAATTTACTTGCGTGAGAAAAAAATCTTCTTTTCCTTTAAAGTTTAAAGAAATTTTAAACAATATTCGTTTTATGAACTCTTGATAAATGTTACCTTCGAGCTTTGGCGACAAATATTTTGCGCATTTTGATGTTTCTCTTTACGTTGGGACGGAGCCACTCCTTTTGGGGAGAAGTTTCACTTCTTAACCAAACATATTCTTTGTCCTAGCAATCGAGACCAAGGAATTCTTTCTCGAATGTTCGATTCGAGCTTCAAACCTTTAAAAGAGAATGACAAAGCAGAATTACTGTCTTTTCCTGAATTTTTCACAAAAATTGGAAACTTTTTCGTTTAAATTAAATAAAAAGAAAAACACCTATTGAAGCATTCGTTATTCCCAAAACGCAAAATTTAGATAACAAAAGATTAATACCTTAAATTAATAATCCAAGGAATTAAATTAAGCTCTGATTTTTCTTAAATAAAAAATGTAATTAACTGAAAATTTTCTCAATATCATCAACACAACATCAGCGAACTTCAAACGCCTTTCTCCAATAGCATAAATTTCTCATCGCTTCCAAAACACAGCCAAATCAAAATTTCGCTTTCTAGGAATTTATTTTAACTAACAAGTTCAAGATTAATTTTAAACTTTCCTATAAGTCTTCATTCCCCTAATTGTGAATGCCAGAATATTTAAATTTCTGAGCCGGCGTGAAGGAATGTAAATTCCGCTTGGAGGAAAAAATTAAATACCGGGTTCCAGAAGGAAAGTTAGAGAGAGTTATGCTATTACCGTCACCTCTGTAGCATGAGCGTCTACTCCCGGAGTTATTGCTGGTTTACCTGGCATAACAGCATTTTACTGAGCCCTGTAGCTGAATATCTGAGCCCTGTAGCTAAATTTCTAATACTTGTGAACATCTTCGAATTTTTAGTTTAGTTCTGTGATTTCAGTTACCGCTCAAGAGAGGCGTGGTGTGTTTAGCGTCCAGTTGACGAATTGTAAATTTGAATGAGTTTAATAAAGGGTTTTTTTAACCCTTCTCCTGTGTAGTTCCTACAATCACTTGCTACACGTATAGTTGGCACTTAGAAGATAAGCATGTGGACCCTACAACATGACTGCAACGTACAATGCACATCCAGGGCACGTGCAAGATATTGGGGCACATACTGGGAACTAAGGAAACGAAGGTGCTGACGTCCTTGCCAAAGATGCAGCTACTAATCCTTATTCAAAGTTATGAACTTAAAATGGCCAGAGTCATAACTAAAAAAAATTTCATACAAGAAAATGTCAGAAGGAATGGAATTCTGTTCCCCAAGGCAGGACAACATACTAACTAATCAACTTAATAAACAGAAAACTATGTCTCGGCAAACCCCTTTAAATCAATTTATATGCGTTCCCCACATTTCTGCGCTAAAAATAATCCCTTCTCCACTTATTACTAGAACAGTATGTCTTTCTGAGACAAATATGTTTTCAGCAAAAGCGGACTACCTCATACCCATTACGTCATACCCCAAAAGCGAACTCTTACCATAACGGTTAACTCTTTGAAGACAAAACCGGGCCAGACGGGCTTTTAATCAGACGGCCACAATCGCCCCAAAACTCGAAATTCCGATGCTGTTCTCTTCCCTCCCCTTAGGTATGCAGTAGCTGGTGAAATTTCCACAAATGCATTGTAATAGTTTATTGCAAACAGCTTGCCCTGAAGAATTTATTTTTCGTTTCTTACCTTTATCTGTTAAAAGTAGAAAGGATTTCCTTTGAAATCTTCACTCTTCTTTGCGTGCTAATGGATGGAGTAGAGAGAAAACTCTCGAAAACCATTTCAAGCGGTTCGGTAGTTTAACAAACAAGTTAGCGAAGGCTTTGGTTTTCAAAGAATTAACATAAGCAAATCCTTAGCGTTAGACCAACTACACACGACTCTTCTATCGAAACTATAAGTAACCCAACATTTGATTACAAAATCAACAATATTGTTCAATGTATTTCGAGCAAAAGCAAGATATTCCTGAGCAATAGTTGTTATGAAAAATTTATATTGTATTTTTCCGCTGCTTCCAGCATGCTTTCGTTGTGTAACGGTAGCGCGTATTTGAGAGGTCCAGGTTCGATTCCGCCGAAGGCATTGCACATTTCTCATGTCTTCTGCTTAAAAAAAATTAACCTAGGAATGGCTCCCGAAATAAAAGGTGGTAAATAATAATTTGCATTACCAAGATTTGACTATTGGGTCCCCTAATCCCCAGTCGTTCTGAAAAGGGTAGTACGTAAGGTTTCATTCAAACTCTTTCTGTGCTTGTATTTTCTCCTTCTTTAGATCATGCGTTCATAGTGTAACGGTAGCACACTTGGCACGCATTAAAGAGGTCCACATCCGAGGCCCGGCGAGGGCATTGCACATTTTTCATGTTCCTTGCTTCATAAAAACCTAGCCTTTTTAGAATGCATATGTTTCCAAATACTCAACGGCTGAAATATTTTTTTAAGTTAGCACGGAGCTTCTGTAGATGAAATTCGAACCTCGGGGTGATACTTGTATTCCCATATGGTAATGTACTTGTGTCTCGTATGGTAATTTCTATCCTCTCCTGTTACAGAATGCATCGAAGATTTATCCGATGAGGCCATACGCAGTTGTGAGAATTTCAGGAAGAATACATCTCCACCTTTCCAGAAGCTGTATTATATCACCGAATCACAAGGCGAAATGTTCGGTGTTACGAAAGAGTGCGCGAATGTTATGAGCTACACAGGACTGGAAATAGGCAGTATACCATAACTTTATCAATGGTTTTACAGATGTATTTTCACCTCACTTCGTGTGCAGCTCTATCCCACGTTTGATGGACAACACCCTGAAGGACGAATTTGAGGGACTGTAATCTCTTACATATCTTATTTAAATCTCAAGGATTCGACTTGCTAGTATTATAAGTGTCCTCTTCCACACAAACACTTACAAAGATAAAAGCGTCCCGCAAATTCGAGCCAAGGTCTAATGATATTGCAGCTGGCTTTACTAAACACTATACGGATCAGGCGGGGGCAATATTTGCAGAAGAGGTTTAAACACGTAGGATGTCAGCGGGTGAAAGGTACCCTCAGGCCAAGGAAGGCCACTCAGTGCACGGACTGTGCTATTCTACACAATCACACAAGCGCTTACACTTTCACCACTCAGCAGAAAATATCGGCTTCTTAGGATATTTTTCTGACTCATTGATGTATTGCATGAGAGCTGACGGAGGACGGACCTATTGACGGCTTCTCTTATTTTGTGAACCATTAAATTTAAGTTGGCTCATTGTTAAGGGTATTTGCTGCAATGTACATTTGAGAGCTTGTGTGAGGCAGAATATGCCAGACTGAACTAGTATTTTTTCTAATGGCAGATTGTGAACAGTTACAGTGTAACCCAGTCCATTAATCTATACAAGGTCAGATGTGGTGGTCTCTTTATTGTGGAGGCACCTAATAGGGGGGTCACGATGGCCTTCTATGAAGGGACGGACAGTTAAAACCATGCCTTCTCCGGGATTTGAACCCAGGCCCTTCGGTATCGGAGTCAGGCTGCCCTAAACACTATACCGTCTGGGTGTCACTGAACTAGTATTAAGATACTGGAAAGTTACGTCGACGGAATTCTGTAGCCTTTTCTTGTATTCATGCTGCCCTGTCTGTCGGACTGTTTCCTTAGGACGGCTGTTTCTTGAGGTTATAAAATTTTCTAACGCAGCAGCTGTCGCTACGGTTTTCTGCGCTATAAAACAATTCTTTTGTGACCGTCTTTATTGCCTCCTCTTTTTCCTATTGAACACCTTCGGACATGACCAGGCTGATTCCATTCTTTAATAAACGTGTCTGATGTGGTTGCACACTTACACTGAATCTGGTGAGCCAACCCTCCAAAAAATCTTAGACAACTGCATGCGCCCATGACATACCGCATTTTTATGTGCATCGATGCTCGAGCAAACCTTATCCCATTATTAATCTCTACATGTAATAAAAGAAAAAGCATGCGTGTCTTCCGTTCGTAACAGACCCAGGGCTACAAAATGTGGTATATAGGTGCATCTAGACAAGAGCCAGTGCACCTCGAAGCGAGATTTTCAAAGTTCGAATCAGATTTTTTTAAATTTTATCTTTTCGATTTTATCGCATCATTTTGAATAGTTTCATTATTTTAGAAATGTGGTTTGGGCAACAGTTTTTCATTCAATTGTATTTTTGGCTGCTGACTTTTGAAAATCAGCACTTTTGGCACTTAGAAATAGAAATAGAGGGTGATAATTCTGTGCATTTTTTAAATTTAATGTTTCTCTTGAATACTGGACGTTTGTTGAGAGAAGGCAATGATAATTTGGTCAATTCATTTATTAGGATAGTTAATATTTGTATTAAGGGATATTGCTTATTTCATTGTCATTTTGTTATATATATTATATATATATCTATATCTATATATATATATATATATATATATATATATTTTAAATTTGTAGGGTATTTTTTGATGAAGTTGTTCTGCAGACTAAAATTCTACTCAGTTTTTAAATTTAACGTTTGGTGTCCCTTTCAGGCATTTTCCCGGTACATCTGAAAGCCAGAAGAAGGCTGGCAGAGTAGCTGCTAGTCTGTAATATTTCCAGGTCATTTTTGTGCAAATAAATAATGTTATTGACTCTTTTGTTGTGTGTTTCTCTTGTTGTCTTTTTGTCATTGTTCTTGATAAGTTTTGTCATAATTCCATACGCTTTCTAGGTACATGGTTTTTTTTAATTTTATTGACTGTTTAAATAATTAAAAAATCTCCTTTAGTTATAAAATAATTTAATGAATAACTGCATATCGTTTACAATTACGTCTAATGTTTCTTTTGTTCTAATGCTAATGAAATGTTCTATATATTCACTAAGAATTTGTAAAAAATTTGGAAAACCGAATTTGCGATCCATTTCTCTGGGATCCAACTCGGATCAAATTAATAATCTTCAGCCATCGTGACTACTGGGCTGCTAGTGACGAACGAAAGTAATGTAAAGTTCACTACGGAAATGCTGGATGATTATGTCCTTAAATGCATAAAATCTCTCTCGCTCGCTCTCTCTTTCTCTCTCTCTATAGATATATATATACCGACTTTCAAAAATAAGAAAATGTTTCTATCTAGTCAATTAGCTCCAGAAAAAATGGAGATAATTGAATGAATTTTTTTGGTTGATATAATATTGAAACAAAATTATATATAGCATTCAAGGTACACACGCATTATCATACATAAGGTTCATCGACGCTGGCAATTTCAAAAGGGAGGTTGCAAGATCGAACGAAAGACACGCTAATAGAGGGTATAATCTTTACACATTTCTTGTATAGATGAGAGACCATATATATCCGTTTGGTTTCTTAATGAAACGTCCAGACCATTAGAACTGTCTCCAGTACAGTGGAGATGCTCACTCAATTAAGGTATCCGATCTCGTACAAAAGACGATTTTCGGTCAAAATTTCGATTTTTACTTTATTACATTATCTTAAAGAAACCTTTTTACCTATCAAATGCAAGTTTTTACTTGTTGATAGGTTAATTAGAACTGAAACAGTTGAGGAAACCAAACTTAACTCTACAACATAAAGGAAATGATAACAGTCAAATGATGAATTTTCGTCTACTTATATTTACTCCATACATAAAAATGATTAGCACACAATAATTGTATGTCTTCGAGTGTTTAATTATATGCCTTCGAGTATTCTGTTAGCCAACTGGTACTTGAAAAGAATCAAAAGGCTATACTGATAAAACTAATACTTGAATCTTCGACATAATTATCCCTAAAAAAGAAATGAAAATCCGGCTTTCACGAAGAAAAAAATTACAATATCTGATAAACATAAAAATGATTAGAAATTAATCTCCTTTGTTAATACAGTTTGAGTGGTAGGAAAATTTTTAAAAATAATAATGCTTTAATGAGATTAACGGAAAACTCATTTATATCGAGACTTTAATATAGTATATTTTTGAAAAATAAATTAGTACCTTTGAAAAAAGCAATAATACTTCTTCCAAAATATCAGACAAAAGTAAAATTAATAGAAAAAATAAAACTTGGTACGTTTAGGTAGATAATTTAAATTCATAAGATAAATTAAAATTGAAAGACAAAAAAGGCTGTAATTAAAAAAATCTAATAAAGGGTTAGACAGAAATTCGAAACTTTCCTTGAAAAGAAATTAATTACAGGATTTATTTCTAAGACTCAAACTTACGAAACTTTTCTTTCATGTAATATAATATTTTTGTCTTGATTTTCTCATTTCATTTGATCATTTATCTGCAATCGTCGGTAGAAACTTTTATCATTATATAACTATTTCTTTTAACTTATTCTAAAACAACTGTGCTTTCTGATTAGGTAGTGGAAACCATTCAACGGCTACTGCATAGAAAAAAGATGCCGTCTCTGAGAATTCATAATTAAAATTTTGTTACGTAACAAAAAATGCTAATTGAGCTCACTCGTTTCATTGCCTAAAAATCGGAATACGACCACAATACTTCCCAGCCAGTGAAAAATGTAAACGAAGGTTCAAACAATTACTTTGCACCATCCTCATGATGCTAAATTCGAGAAACCATTCAAGAGACATTTAATTGATGGAAATCATTTGGATTATTCCTAATTCCACCAGGAGCATTTTCAGGTAAATTACCTTCGATGGCGGTTTAGTTGTGAACTCTTTGAATGCACATTTCTGGCAAGCGAATATACCAGAAAACCAATAAACGGAATTCAGAAACTGCAGTCGTTATAAAATGTCTTCTCAGCAGACGGATTCTTCCTGTAAATATATATATATATATATATGAAACTGGAACCCCTGCAATCTGGAGTAAAACACGTTATTAGTACTCTTCAAAACGTTTTAAGAGGAAATTCTCAAATTGCAGAAATTCTTCTTGAAAATGTCCTGTACTAAACAATTGCAATAAATGAATGAATCTGCTGCAAGTCTAGCAAAACTGTACTTATTTCTGTCCATGAGTGAAGAAGAGAAATGTATTTTCTATTTCTTTCCTCTAGCACGCATATAAATACACTGATGTTGAGACGATGGTACTGTGTAGGATGCGGAAATTTTAAGTACACATCCACATTCTTCAAACCACACTATCATCTTGATACACGGTGTATATTTTTAGGATAAAGAGCTGAAAATAGTGGGTGCGCTTGGTCTTTCAAAATCCATCAGTAATACTTGACAGCTATGTAAACTTTAAACGCGTTTTCAGATGGATTTCATCTATCAAAAAGCTCACCCGTGCACTGCTGTGCTTTGTTCAGGCTGCAAGACAGTCTGGAATATTCCGTATTCCTCAGGTAAAAGTTTCAGAAATGAAAAAGTCAGTAGGATGTTACTTTGCACTGCGCAATACCACTCTGACTTGTGTACTGTTCACGTTTTATGCGCTAACATCATTGAAATCAGCGTTTGGAATGGATGTTCGTTAGCAGTTCCAAACTAAATAATAACCCTAAAGATATTTTACATAAATAGTAGAATTAATTGAAATGTTGTGCTTCATTGCAATTTAAGTGAGAGCTGCTTTAGGTTTTTAAACGCAATTTTTTAACACGGTGTAGAGACATTAGGTTAATTGGAAAAGCCGGAGAGATGAAAAATGAGCAAATCGCCTTCACCAGAATAATGAAATGCACTGAAATGCTTATAAAGCGCCTGCAAACAATTATGAGTGTATATTGCCTTTTGTAGATTTTTCAAAATATGTGACAGCGTTAAACTGAACAAAGCGAAAAAAACCTCATTTCAAAAATATATTGAAAAATATTTTCTTTGCGAAAAATACGTATGGATGTAACGTTTTAATACTTAAAAGTAGCTTCCTCAAATGTAAGTATTGTTCGCTGTAAACTACCATTTTAAGTGTAGAGTTGTAAATAATGTTAACATAGACAGCAATAGGAAAACAAATGCAAAACATCATATGAGTTCGTTCTCGGTTGTAGTGCCGCTACTACTTAGTATTATTACGAAATTTGTTTCCACAGAGAAGAATGTGCAAATTTGATGACACAGAATTTATGAGAATTCTTTGTATAAATTTGAAACAGACCGAAATAAAAAGAAATATATTAAGCTGGAGGATATTTTTCATTTATGTGTGCTTTCTTTTATAGAATATAATATATCATTTCATTTAAATTTGCCTTTAATAAAAGACGAAATCATATGGTTTTCAACTATCGCTCACTAAATTTACTAATATATAATCATAACTTAATTGAAGAAACATTTTAGCCAATCCTAAGCGTTAAAAATTTCAAAATATATAATTAAATATATGTTGATCAAGAATTTCGGATGACGTTTTAAATACTAATTTAAAAATAAATATGTTAATTTCAAGAAAATGAATTTCGAATGGTCTTGAGAAATTTAAATAATACTCTTGTATATTTCTATATATAAGAAAGAAAGCAAAATTATCATCTACATAATATGAAGCTACAATCTTTCGCATATAAATTAACAAATTTAAATAGGTTATTTGTTTCAGACTGCAATAGAACATTAATAAAAGTACTGCAAAAATGCGCATACTAGTTGCTCTTGTGTTTAATTGGTACCAAGATTTTCTGACTATTTATAGACTTTCGAGTAATCCAACACAGTGGTGTTTAATACATAAAAATAATTTGTTAGGAAATAGACAAACTCAATTGCAGAAAGAACTTCTAACTATGCTTATGACCTGTAATCCTTGATTGAGGTAAAGTGAAAGCAACTGGGAAATTTATACACATAAAAATAACATTATATTTCAAACAAATTAAACTTCAGCTCATGTTTTATTTTCTGGTAATCCTTCATGCGTTTCTTCAATAATTCATTCCATTTTGGCAAAAATATCATGTTCATCCGAAGGCGTTTTTGCGAATGGTGATCATACTAGTCCTCCTGAATCATTTACTTCTTTGTTCTCGGTCTCTGATCCTCGTCGATTTTTGCTGCCCTTCAGTGTTTTCTCGGTGGAAAGAACTATACTTGGACAAATAAAGAACGACAGCTAGCTTCCACTATCTCGGCAGACATTCTTCTGCTTTTCATGGTTGCAGGATCTTCTTAATTTTCACCTCAATTCGTTTTCAAGCGTTTATTTGCACCATCGATTTCGATATTGCCCCACTTGTTTCAACACGGTTGTGTTCTTTCTGGCATTGTTGTTTCCTGAACCTTTCGCCTTTTATCGTCCTTTTCTTCAAGGTAACTTGGTCTTTTACTCGAATGTTTGTGACATCAGCTAATATTCTGCTGTTTTCGTTGAAGCTTTGTTACCTTCTTTGATCTTTACGGGATCTTTTGAAGATCTCTTTCTGCTCTGTAGCTTGAAAGATCTGTTTTTTCTATTCTATATAGACTAAACTAGATCCTACAATGAACCTGGCGAATTCTCGCACAGACGTGAATGAAATAACAGCACAGAAGAAGGATGAAAATAAAACTTTATTAATTTCAACTAATAATAGAAATACGATCATTGTGTTTTACAATAACACCGTCAACTTGTGAAACTTAAACGTAGAATATAACTTAATTCAAATTCTAATTGGAATAGTGCTGGGTTAGCACACTAAAGTATGGCTGACTTATGTTCACTCA